ACCGATGTCATTTTGACTTATATTCTAGAAGTATATTTTGACCCATATAGTCTCGAGTTCAAGTCTCACATACAAAAAAAATCGGGAGAAGTACTTTTCAATTTAATGGGCACATGTACTTCAAAAAATTAGATTTTCATATTATGCTATTTTTGGTCTATTTGTGGTTTTTGATTTTGCTTTTGATATTACAGTTTCTTGAATTTGATAAGAATGTTTCTGTTTTTCCTAATAAGAATTTTTATTCCCACAATCGTCGTAATAGTTAAAGTTTGTTAAATATGTGACTAGGGACCAACAATACTTTTTAAAAATTTAAAGGATCTAATGTGCTCAAGAATATATTTAAGGAACTAATTTTAACCTACTCTCAAACATAGGTGGGTATTTTTGTCATTTTATCGGGAAGAATAAGACGAACCCAAACAGCGCCTTGTCATCTAAAACCCTGTAAACCCTTTTTGCGTTGTCCACAGAGCTTCCCCTCAAACAAACTCAGCAGAAATGAGCAGAATTCAATCCTACCACGACTTCGTTAAAGTCCACGGCGTACTCTTAGCGGCCGCCGGAATCCCGCAGTCACTTCACAAGCTTCTCTTTCAGAAGCTCTCCTCTGATACTTTCGACGGCGGCCACTTTTTTCAGATTGAGCCGTTCGAAGATGGCCGCCAAAGAAGGCTGCTTTTCACTTCTAATTTCATGCCAAAGCACTCAAATCTCTTTCTTGTTGATCACGCTTGGACTTTTCGCCTCCCCGATGCTTATAAGCAGGTTTTAAAACTGTTTTCTCTCTCAAATAGGAGTAATTTACGCACATATATACATTGCATAAGTCAAATACATGAAAATGAAGTGATAAACATACGTAAACACTATATACATTACATAACAGGTAAAGTTCAGTGACTTTAATGTAACAAAAAATAGTTTGTAATATAACTGTTACAAGTAAAGTTCAGTGACTGTAATGTGACAGAAAATAATTTTGTGATATACAAAAAATAGTTTTTGACTTTACTGTTACAACATGAAGTTTTTTTTTTTTTT